GGGGAGGGTGAGGGAGGGTGGGGTCCCTCCACCAATGCTCAGCTATCCCAGGTCTGCAGGGCAGCACCAGGTGACCAGCCAGGACAGCCTGGGCCCACCTGACGCTAGACTCCAGATGCCACCCCTCGTTCTGTACCGAGGGCCTGGCTCCTTCCCCACCCTGGAGATTCTGAGGCCATTAGAAAGGTGGGAAGACTGGAGGAGATGTTTAGGGGACAGTGTGAGATTCCTTCACTGACTGTCTCCACGGGTACTGTCTCCCCGGGCATGGAAACCCACCATCCTTTCTAGGTCAATTCAAGCACGTCTCCCAGGACTAGCCCCATGACGTTTCCGTTCCCCACGCTTGTCGGAAGGTGCCCCAGCCCCCCAGCCCCTGGCACCTGATCAGAGGGTCAGGGGAGGGCTTTAACCAGTTGCTTCCCCTCTGGGTGGGGGGACGGGGTATCCAGGCACCTGTCTGAGAACCCAGTTGCTATAGAAACGACCACCCAAAAGGCAGGATGGTGGGGAGGTTGGCAGGTGAGTTGGGCCCAGACCTTTTTCAGAGACAGGTTTTTTTTTTTGCTTTGTTTTTTGGTGGAGAAACACATCTTGTATTCCTCATTCATATTCATTGTGGGCAGTCTCCAGCCCCTACACGTGAGTTTTAATTTTAAATTTCTCCAGGGAAACAACGGAGTCATTTTTAGCCGGCTGGTTTGGGGAGACTTTGAGCGACCCCTGGAATCCGCAGGAGCCTGCAGGGCTGAGCTGTGTTTGATTTAAAATTGGAAACAGGAGGCAGAAGAGTGGCTTTATATAGCCTGGGAGGTCCAGGAGCCCTGCACTGATTTATGACAGGCCTGCCGAAAGCACATGGAAGCCGAGGTAATATTTATAAATTCCTTCCCCAAGGATGGATGGAATGTTCTGAGCTGCAGTCAGAAAGCACCTTTTTGGGGGATGAAGGGAGGTTAAGTCCAGTTATTCGCGGACTGAAAGGAAAAGGGAACTTGAGCATGGAGGGGCTGCTCCAAGTCTGTTCCGGAAACGCGGGCTGCTCTGCAGGCCTGGACTCCTCGCTCAGGTCCTCAGGGCCCCCCTCCCAACCTCCTCCCTCCCCTCCGCCCCGTCCTACTCAACGAGGCCAAGGACCTACACCTGGCAATTGCAGTGACTGCACTTTACCAACAAAACATCTATCTAGGTGTCTGGGGACAGAACAAGTCCTGGCGCTGTGGGGAGAGAGAAGGAAAAGAAGATGGAGCGGGGGCGGCGGGGGAAAGGGGGAGAGGAGGCTGAAGACAAACGCGGGTGTGGCCCAGGAGCCCGAGTCCCTGGCCGAGGCCCAGGTGTGACGACGGGACACCCGGAGTGGGAGTGGCCGGCGCCCGGCATGGAGGTGGGCACTGTGAAGGGTTCGCCTGGCTGTCAGCAACCGTGAAGGACTTGCACCCACTGCAGTTTGGACACACCAACCAAGGCAGGGGACCCCCAGATTCAGAGAGCGCCACCCTCTGTGTGCCCCTTGGGCTGGCATCCCTGTCCCTAACCTAGCAGTTTGGGAGAGCGGCCAGCCATGTGGCCGAGCTGGCTGATGGTCTTGCTTGAATGAGAAAGGACAACAGAAAACATTAAAAAAAACTGTGTCAGGAAAGTAAAACCCAGGCGGGGCACATTCAGCTCTCTAGTCCCCTCAGCCTTGATGCCTGATTCCCATCTGCATGCAGAAGGGAGGCGTATCACTAACCTATGTGTGCCGGTCCCCCGTGGGATGCACTCCCCCCAGTGCTCCGGGTCACGAGAGCCAAGCTGGAAACAGCAGGCGGTGGTCTGTGGGGCTCTGCTGTCTCTGGGGACCGGGGAGAAACTGTCATCTTGGTTCCAGTCTGCCCAAACCTCTCATCCGCAGCCTGGTTTCTGGGTGTCACCGGCATACCCACGGGAAGGACAGGAGGTCTTGCCAACACCAGCTGCGTTCCTGCCCTGGCCCCAGGGGTTCTCATGACAGGTTCTAAAGCCGGTTAAATGCAGGCAGGGTGGTTCTGGTGTGATGCCAGGAGGCCGGACAGAGATGCAGAAAGACACCTCACCCATTCCAGCTTAAGTGCTGCCAGGCACACAGGTCCCCATACTTCAGGGCACCCACCAGGACAGAGGGGATTGAATGCCAGCTCCCCAGCCAGGCCCACACTGGCAACTGTAGACCCGTGGACACTGTGCAGGGAGACCTGGAACCCCCCCTTCCTTACCTCTGCTTCTTTCCCTCCTGCAGCACTGAGCACACGTTCCATGAAAGACACAAGGTCCCTGGGGATGACGTCAGCGCTTCTTTTGGCAGATGGGACCATGATGCACATCTGAGCCTCTGAGGTGACAACGGGCTTGGCTCTCTGCTCATGGCACCGGGGCAGCCACATCCATGGCACCTAGACGTTCCGTCCACTCTTACGGGCTTGCTCCCAAGCCTGCACCTGCAGGAGTTCAGCCACCCCCGACTGTTGAGGCTGTGGGAGGATGAGCCCAAAGAGGCCAAGCCTGCAAGGCCCCGCGGTCAGAGCACCGGTTTCTCTTCCCGCACAAAGGGGGCTCTACAGCTGCCCCGCCGGGGCCAGTTCCCAAATAAGACCCCGGCTTTTCCCTTGGACTGTTCCGACGGGTGGAAATACAGAGTGTTGGTGCTGGAAGGATGATAGCAATGGTAGCTGTCATTTATTAAGCACCTACTGCATACCAGGCATGTTAAGATTATTTCTGATCCTCACAAGTGCTGGAGGAGGCGCGATTCTCATCATCAGGTCACAGTGGAGGCCACGGAGCTCTAGGGAGGCTGTGAGTGAGATCAGGGGCACAGACCTGCATCCAACTCCAGCTCTGCCCCTTACCAGCTGTGGGGCAGGCTGCTTTCTTAAGCTCTCGGTGTCTCGGCTTCCTCATCTGTAGATGGGGAAGCTGCAAAGGGTGGCCCCCCGTAGGGTGGTAGTGAGTCACTGCACAGGCAGTGTGCTCACAGCAGGGCCCGGCTCCCAGGAAGGGCTGCCAGAGTGTCAGCTGTCACCACGGGGAGGACGAGTGATTTGGGCCCAGTCGGCAGGGCAGCAATAACTACATTCCCAGTCTGTCCGGCCCCAGAGCCCATGCTCTTCCCTTTACGTATGAGGAAACGTGCATGGTGGGGAGGGTGTCAGGAAAGAGGACTTGCCAAGATGGGCCAGCTGCTCTGTGACTGTCCCAGGGCTGGCAGCCCTCTCTGATGACCCCAGGTGTAGTGTCCACCCCACGAAAACACTGAAATAATCTCTGACAAGCCCCTTCGGCCTTTGGGTTATCTGATGCCACCTCTGGGAGCCAGGGTTTAACGCGGGAAGCATTGTCTCATGCTTTTGCACCACACGGGCCCTCTCCAGCCCTGACTTTCTTCAAACTGCACTTCCCAACAACTCCATCATGAATGTAAGAAATCCATGAACACAGACCACTGTTCCTTCCCCACCATAATCGACTCAGATCTTAGAAGCTCTACATGGATTTTTAACCACCCTTTGCTGCCAACTTCTCCATTTTATTTGAAATAAATATTCAAGATTTACCTTGCCTAGACTCCTCTCTGTTTGCTACGCCCATCAATACAAGGTTTCACCGCACTTCCAAAAAGCACAAAAAGAGGATTCCTGCCTCTTTTAAACCCTGGACTTAACAAAGATCATTTCCATTGGAACCAGAGAAAAACAGACGTTTTCTTTATTCCCCTGTGGCCTCTTTCTCCCTTTCAAATTTCCCTCCAAGAAGGTGAATACAAACGTGTTACAACTGACTCCCAGCTTTAAGAGATGAATCACCTCACCGCGGTTTGGCACAGAGACAGAAGGGAACAAGAGAGCGCAGGGGAGTGGGGGGCGGGGAAAGGAGGTGGTGTTTCTCAGGAGGCCAGACCCTGGTTGTCAGCCTCCGAGAGCGCCCCTCACCCCAGGGCCCTGGTCCACAGCGGATGGAGGTGCCGGTTGCGCTTTAGGGAACTCACGTGGAGGGCTCCCATAGGGCACACCGTGCCCTCCCTGGGGCACGAGCGGCCAGTGAGGCTGTGACCGTCCTCCTGCCCTGGTCGGTGCACAGGGACGTCCCTGAGCTTCTGCTCCCGAGGGATGGAACATTTGGGGTTTGCTGGGCTTGGGAGCGGCCTGTGTCATCCTGCAAGGAGAAGGTGGGGAGGTAGGCAGGAACGAGGAGAGGAAAGGGGGACAGACAGCTGGATCAGGTCAACCAGCGGAGGAGCTGTGCCCGGAGGGGCCGGGGGAACGGAGGCAGGTCCTCCGGCGCCTCCCGCGGAGCCCCGGACACCCTGGGTGGGGGTGGGGCTGCGGCCGCCCTTGGAGACCAGCAAGCGCACGAACTCCTCGTAGCGCACCAGCTCGTCCCCGTCCACGTCCGCCGACCGGATCATCTCGTCCACTTCTTGGTCGCTCGGCTTCTTGCCCAGCCGGGTCATCACGTGCCACAGCTCGGCCGCGCCCATCAGGCCGTTGCCGTCCTTGTCGAAGACGCAGAAGGCCTCCCGGATCTGGTCCTTGGCGTCCCTGCCCTTCACCTTCCGGGCCATTAGGCCCAGGAACTCGGGGAAGCCCACAGTGCTGCTGCCGTCACGGTCCAGCTTGCCCACCAGGTCCCGGAGCTCGGCCTCAGTGGGGTTCTGGCCCGGCGACCGCAGGACGGCGCCCAGCTCCTGCGTGCTGATGGCGCCGTCCCCTCCTTGAACTCGGCCACCTGCTCCTCGGTCGGCTGCTCGGCCCTGACCGTTGCGGGGAGGCGGTCCTGCACACGGGTGTGGCGGGGCGCCGGGAGGTGGCCGGGTGCGGGGCCGGCGGCTGATGTTCTGGCCCCGGCTTGACTTGGAGCCGGGATGTCCCTCACCGTGCACGCTCCCCGCCCTGCGGTTGCCTGAAGTCCGGGTCCTGTTGGAGCAGGAGTCCAGGCCCAGGCAGTGGGCCGGCCGGCTAGTTGCACTGACGCCAGCAGCTCTAGGAAAGGACGGGCCCTCCTCCCCACCGCCCAGAGCCCCCGGGACCAGTGGGGACACCTCCAGAGAGGCTGGTAGACAGCCTCTAGAGAGATGAGTTCTGGGTCTGCCTACCGGAATCCCACCCCCGCAGTCTTCACACCCTCCACTCAGTCAAACCACTGGCTCTGAGCTCTTTCCTGCCTGTGGCTGAGGGTTTTGGCAGGAGGAAGAACAGACGTTGTCTTTGCCTGAAAAGAACTCCCTTTCTTTTTCTTTGGTTTCCAAAGTCTGAAAACCTCAGGGTTCCCAAGAGGGTTTTCAGAGGAGAAAAGAAAAATATTTTTTCTTCAGATAGAAGCAGGCTGTCCCCAGATCCTGCAGCGGCTCATATGTATTCCAACCACAACACAGCTAGTTAAGGAGGAAACTAACAGAAACAAGCAAGATAATGAGATACTTTCAATAAGTGCTATCAAGGAAATAAAGGGTGGTGATGGAGAGCAGGTGGGGAGGTTAATTCTGCAGCAATGGTTGTAGAAGTCTTCTCTGCAGAGGTGGCACCCAAGGGTGACCTGAGGGGGAGAAGGGGCCTTCCAGGCAGAGGCCAACAGGTTCCAGGTCCACAGGTGGGAGAGGCTCGGTGTGGCCAAGGGACAGAAAAGAGGCCGGTGCAGCTGCAGCCCAGGGTGAAGGGGAGAAAGCAGGAGATGAAGAAGGGAAGACAAGCGAGATTTGTCAGAGGCGAGAGGAATTCACGTTTATCCTCCAATCCATGAGAACCCCTGCACATTTTAGCAAGGCCACGTCTGAAAGTCTGAGCTTCTGGTTTCGGGAATGGGAATGGACAGAGCTGAAGAAAGGGGTGTTTTTAAGAGGAGGTTCTCGAGAAGGTGAAGTGGGATGCCCACCAGGCACACACGCTCGGAGCTTAACTCCCAGGAAGCCCAGGGAAGGACCAGCCACAGAGTGAGAAGAGGTGGCTTTGCCTGTGGGAATCCATGCAAATCCAAAGTGGTGAGACCCAGAGGAGCCAACGAAGGACTGAAGGAGACGAACGAGGCCGGATGCTGCCCGACTTCGAAACTTACTGTCGAGCTGCAGTGATCCAGACAGTGTGGTGCTGGCTGGAGAGCAGACAAGTAGATCAGTGTAACAGAATAGGGAACCTAGAGAGGGACCCCTATCAAGAGAGTCACCCGAGCTTTGACAATGGAGCAAAGACGGTCTCTTCAACAAATGGTGCTGGAACAACTGGACATCCACCTGCCAAAAAAAAAAAAGAATGTGGACACAGACCTTATACCCATCACAAGTAACTAAATGGACCATAGACCTAAATGTAAACACAAAACTAGAAAACTCCTAAAAGATAACGTAGGGGAAAATCTGGATGACCTTGGGTTTGGTGATGATACAAACCCAAGGTCTGTAGTTTGAGTTTGGGCTGGGTTTAGATGATGATCTGTGAAAGAAAGAAATGACAAACTGAATGCTTTAGTCTGAATGTGTCTCCCCTCAAATTCACATGCTGGGGGGACGTATTCATGAAATGCTGCAAGGGCAGGATCAGGAGAACCACTGGACAAAGGCGTGTAGCTGACAGCACCCTGGGGAACCAAGGGCCAGCATCACGATGAAACTTGTGCCTGACACTGTCCCGCTGATGGACTGCATCCTGCCTCACCTACGAAGGGTAAGTGGACAACAGGTATCTGCAGCTTTCTGGGTCATGGCCTGTGTTCTTCAAAAAGACACATTGAAACGGAGCTCAGCAAGGGTTTTAAGCAGAGTTGCTCATGACTCACAAGGCACAGGGCTGTGACAACTAAATTGTTGCAACTCACTGGTTAGGAAACTATGACAGAGGGAATGTTTTTAATTTGCTAGGCTTCTGTATTCTCCCCCTGTGGCCTCTCAGTGCACTGATTCCTTTCCCCACAGCATATACTTGTGGTCTTAGGACCCATTTAAACATTTCAAAATTACTGGGGACTCTAAAGAGCTTTTTAAAATGTCTGTCAATATTTACTGGGTTTGAAATTAAAACTAATAAAATTTTAAAATATTTAAATATATTTTATGTATTTATAACTTTTAAAAAACAAACAAAAAACCCATTACATGTCAACACAAATAACGTAGTTTTATAAAAAAAATTAATTACTGTATAAAAAATAAGAGTGGTACCTAAAAAAAACCCAAAAAACCCCAGAAGAGTAGTACCTAAAAACATAATTTTGCAAATCTCTTTAATGCCTGGATTTATGAAAGCATGTCTGCTTCTGCACTTGGTCTGTGGGAAGATGTTTTGATTTGAAGTGCATGATAATCCAGCTTCACACAGCTATGCACAGCTGGCAAAGGAGAGAGCATTTAATGACCCTTTCAGGTAACTGTGGTTATTCTTCTTTGATATCATATCAAAATTTGACAGGCGGTAGCTTCTTAAAGGTTGGTTGTAGTGTGAACTCTGAAACCATGCCAATGAACTTTTCATCCTGTTACATTAAAATCCATTGTTCACTCCTGTGCTTTGAATGGATCTTTTGCAGGCATGATTCTGTGATGCTATGCATTGGTCATTTGGAAAATACTGATTTACTGAGTTCTGCAGATCCTTTGAATGTTGAATCACTGTATGTATAATTTTTAAAAATCACATTCATTAATTTTACCACCAATCCCATTAGAAAAGTCTTTAAGTATTGGGAAGTCTCAAGCTCACAGTGGCAAATACAAAATCTAGAAAGTTCTAATTTTCATTTGGATGCTGAAATTTTATTATTGCAACAAATACTGTCAGTTATTTTCCCTGAAGTGCCAGGCTCACTTCATCGCTTTTTGAGAAAATGCCAAATACCCAGTCTGAGTAACCACAGTTTGTCTATCAGCTGTTTTTCCCCCAAAACTGGCGTGCCATGAAAAAAGCTCACCTTGCGACTTACGTATGCACACAGGTGCTTTTCTTACAACAAATCCTACTAGACTATTCAGCAGAGAATTAAGGATGTGCATGCAAGCGTTGAAATAATAATTTTACTGCGTCTGCAAGAACGTTCTTAAATGAAGCTGGCTTTTTAAAAACTTGAGACCATGTGGTGGTGAAGGCTATAATGACTGCCGGTACAGGAGCCTTGATTCTTGCTAAGGGGCTGGTGATTCCACCCACCAGTGCTCTGAGCTCAGTGCAAAAAGCTGACACGGTGAAAGTGGCAAATCTTGTCTGGTATTACGAGAATAGTTGTGACCACCCAGGCTTCCTGAAAGGGTGTTGGGGACATCCTCCCCTCAAATGGATCCATGGAACACACTTGGAGGACCACAGTGGTAGAGTTGAGAATCAGGAGTGAACCCAGTGTAGAATTGCCTGGGCTGGAGGTGAGAGGCACCGAGGGTGCTGGGATCCTGGTGGGGACAGCGGGGTTGGCCTTACAGAGTATAGTGTTAATAAGGACCTCAACAGACCCACAACGAGGGGAGGGCCTGCTGCAGCTACTTTCTTAGAAGAGCAGGTGACCCAAGGTGTTGCCTTCCCCCCTGAACTGGTGCTACCATAGCTTTTGTTAAACAGAATTTGTGCCTCTCCTGCTGGGCGCTATAGAAAAGGATATAGATTGGGATGCCTAGTCTTTTCAACCAGCTCCATTCCTGTGCCCTCCTAGAATGGGTGTGGCCGCCGGCCTCTCTCTCCTTCTCTCTTTCCC